TCAAGGTCTTCCGGGGGTTAAAGAGAGTGACAAACAAACTGAAAAGAGGAAGAAATTTTGGTCGACGACGAAGCCTGCTTATTTTGGGCTGAAGTTGGGGTCTAATTGCCTTTGGGGTCTCTTTCAATTTATTACTCTTGGCGTCTCTATTGGCTACTTGGGTAGAAGTTCTATTGGAAGGTGGCTACTCCTGAACTTCCCATCATTTTTCAGCGTTGGATGGTTCAGCAAGAAGGGTCCTTCGGAGGATGAGGTCGAGAGCGCTTCCTTCAAGATGTGGTTCGTCGGACGCGGATACAGTGACTTGAGCCGAAGGATGTCGACAGAAGACGGGGACAAGAAGCAAGAGCCAGATGCAGAAATCATAACGAGAGTCATGGGTCCTGATCCGGGCTATTCGACGACTCCTATCATCTTGCTGCAATGTGCTTTGATTGTTCTTGCTCAACGTAACAACTTACCCAAAGGAGGAGTTCTCACTCCAGGGATTGTGTTTGGTCCGACTAATCTCCGAGAGCGTCTCGAGCATAATGGGATTTCTTTTGATGTCATCTCAAGAAGAGTTGTCTGCAAGTTCGGTCGTTGCCCATTTTAAGTATTCCGGATAGGTTGACAGTTTGATGTGTTTGGAGTTTGTTTTGGGTTTTCTAGTTCTTGCGTTTTTTTCCATCTTTAACAATTAGCTTTGTGTTTGATCTACTAGCCGATTGAGTTTTGATTATTATTTATAGTAATCAACTGATCTTGCGACTTAAATTGTTTTATGTATTTGATTCTTTTATATTGTATTAATCACTTTTTGAAAAATAGTTTTTGATTTATTACATGCAAATTTAATGAAACATTGACTCGTTAAAAGATAATTTCTCAATAATGAGTCAATGAGTTTTATTTGTTGATGTAATACTTTGAGTTCAAAATTCATCGAGCCAATCAATAAATAGTGACGGTTCCTTAAACTTATTATAAACTTGTGCTAAAAGTTTCCAACATATAGCATTTCAACTTAATTATCCATTTATCTGATGATGTTGACTCGTGTCTGCACTAGAGGTGTGTAACCAGTGGCGGAGTCACTTGGAGAGGTGGGGTGGGTTTGGAGAAAAAATTTCCGAATATGGGTATAAATAAATTCGAATTAGTGATCATTCAGTTGCAATAAGAATTTCTTACCATTTCAATCGAGTAAGTTTTGTTATGCAATACACTTTCGTCTTTATTTATAGTAATAAATGGTTGTCTTTTGTTTAAACTCGCTCATTTCTTTTGTAGCTCTACAATAGAGAAATTTCTTGCCTTTTGTTTAAACAAAACCGAAAGTGATGAAGTACCAATTGAAGTTCACTTGTTTGTTTCACAAAATCAATTCCAAGGTACTTCTGAGTTATAATTTGTAATACTTGATGAATGGAAGTCTTCACTTTTATGTACTGAACTTATTTGTCTGACGTTGTAGCCTATGTACGTGAAACTATTTTAATATATATATATATTTTACAATAAACTATTTTAATGTAATTGTATGAATTTAGAGTATTGCGTTGTTGACTTGTTTTTTCATTTAAACTTGACTTTTCTACTGTATAGGTGATTCTTTATGATATGATAAAGACACCCACTTGGCCAATTTTCTGGCTCCGCCACTGTGTGTAACTCTCATTGTAGGATATTAATTATGTCAAGATTGAAGAACCAAGATACTTGGTTCGTTATCTTATATAATACAATGCTTGGACTAACCCTAAAAAATTATTGTTCTTAATTGGCTTCAAATATTGAGAGATTTTCTTAGTGAAGATACTTGATCCCTATGTAATTCTGAATCCTAATTCTGTAAATTTGAAACTCTAATTCTTGAAGGGGTGAGTCACTGACCCTAAACTCAAATAAGTAAATTCTAGAACCTAATCCTCTAAAGTCTAAACCTTAAACCATATGATCAATTACATTATGAACAATATTTGATGATTATGATTTGTCGAAATATATCAACCATACCATATGCACAATTAGCGTTTAGAGAAATAGAGTACATGGTTTAGAGAATAAAGTTATGGTATGGTACCCCAAATTCTAATTAAATTATACCATTACTTTATTAAGGGTACGTGGTAATCTCCCCGCGTATCATAATATTCTTTGCACCATATATACACCACATTGATTGTTAAATTTAAAAATTAACCAATGATGTTTTGACTCATTGGTCAACGATATTTAGTTAGTTCTATGTTATTGATTCTCAACCCTTAGTGCAATTATTAGCTAGTGATTTGTTATCATTCACTTCTACCATTGAAAATATTTCCTTACAAAACTATTACGTTCCCTGTTACTCAAAGAATCAACTTGTTATCTAGTTGAATCACAATATGTCAAATTTTCTGTTTTGAAATACAAATTTGTATACATCTTTCGACGATAATCCTTGTACGACCTAATCAATTTATAAGTTTTAATACAACACTTCAACTCAAATTCTATGATTTGATTCTTGGTGAAAATTTTTGTGATTTTGGAAAATCACTTTGTTGATTTATAGAGTTAATTATATGAAGATAAATTATTTTGTAAATTATTTAAAATTATTGGTTATATGGAGTGCTAACTATTGTGGCAGATAAGTCAGTTACTTATGACTTTAATTGAAAGAATACAGCAAATTCTAAAGAAAAGTAGAGAAAATTCTTATGTATATTATTCCAGGATTTAGACTATGATAACCCAAGGGCCAAAACCAATAGGTTCACTCAAGGCAAATTGGACCGGTTCAAATTAACTCTATGAACGAAACAACATGATTTGTCTTGACTCTTGACCACTATAACTTCATGTCACATGATTCAACATATGTTGGCCCCCGGCTAGGGATGGCAATTTTGACCTGATCCGTTTTACCCGACCTGTTTGACCTGTTTTGGGGCGGGTCCGGCCCGCCCCGTAGGCGGGGCTGGGCGGGCATGAGTAGTCTCATCGACCTGACCTGCCCTGACCCACCCCATTCTCGACCCGTTCTTGTTTAAATTACATGTAATCTTAGTCAAATTATTTCGAATTTTCCTTTTATTGCATCATATTTTAGCTATAATAAAGTTGTAAATTAGTGAAAATCTCAATTTCTCCAATAATTTAACTACAATTGTCATAATATTATTTGTTTTCTTAGTCTTATAATAAAAATAACGAATATTTCTAATGTTTTTCATATAAATTGCATACCCATTGGGTCGACCTGCCCCGACCCGCGACCCGTGATCAATTACCCGACCTGGACCCGTCCTGCCACGGGACGGGTCTGGGTACCAAGAAACCCGCCCCGGACCTGCCCCATTGCCATTCCTACCCCCGGCTCGTTATGATCCACCGTGAGATGAGGGTTGATACAAGTGGTATCAAAGTTAATACAACAGAGCTGGAAATCGAAAACAGAGATGAACACTAAAACACTCCTAATATTGTAATCTCTCTCAACCTGTAATTGGAATACCCTGGATCAATCTTCGGCCCCTTTGTTGACTCAATACTCAAGCGGTTAGCTTCACAATTATTGGTGATAGATCATCAATGTCTTACTTCGATATGATTGGGAGCCTCCAGCCACTAAGTAGTCACATTTTTCCTCGAAATGACATCAAATGAAATCCCATTTTGCTGGAGCCGTTCTTGAAGATCCGTCGAACCAAACACAATCCCGGGAGTGAGAACTCCTCCTTTGGGGAGACTGTCACGTTGTCCCAGAGCAATAAGAGCACATTGGAGCAACACAATAGGCGTCGTCAGGTAGCCAATCTCAGGGCCCATCACTCTCGTTATGATCTCTGCATCGGGCTTCTTGTTCTTGTCCCCAGCTGAGGCTTGACTCAGGTCGCTGTACCCACGTCCAACAAACCACATCTTGAATGAAGCACTCTCAACTTCTTCCTCCGAAGGACCCTTCTTCTTGAACCATCCAAGGCTGAAGAATGACGGGAACTTTAGGAGCAGCCACCTACCAATGGAGCTTCTACCCAGGAGCCCCATGAACACGCCTAGAGTGATGACTCGAAAGATGCCCAACAGGCTCTTGGATCCCAGCTTCACCCCAAAATGAGCTGGCTTCATTGCAGACCAGAATTTCTCCCTTTTTTCAATCTGCTCGCCGGTCTCATTGACTCCGGGAAGACCGTGGGGATGTTCTGCTAGCGTTGAGAGCGTTCTTCTTACCACAATAGAGTCAGCTGATGGCAACTTTATGGCCCAAAGACCGAACTCCTTTTGATGATCTATGATTGGCCCTTTAGGAGGATAGGGCCCAGGAATCTGCAAAACATTGTAATGGAGCAACTATGAACTCTCTTAACTGTCAACACTGTGGTAATGGTGATCTATCATCTATGATAGGTCCTTGGGAGTAGCTATTATCAATTTATCAGCATGAAAAGAGATCAAGTAATACAGCAGCAATACATTACTCTCACGCATCAAGACAACTGGCATGAATCACTATGGATGTCAACCTAAACTGCTACCACCAACATTCTGAGTCCCTAGTGATTGACGTAAATTTCCACTCATCAAACGTTATAGTCATAGCTGAAACAATTTTACCCTGCCAAGTCAATGCATTAGTCAGCACAAGTCCATTGCTGAGCAATGTCAACAAACCTGCCTACCAAAGGGGTTAGACCGTTCTAACATCGATGGACAGTCAGATAAACGATCGGCAAATTCCACTCTCACAGTTCAATTCAGCAAGCTAACTACGCAGTGATGAAAAAGCAGTACAATGTAACAAAGAGAAGTTGTTTCCTCACCGTTGGCCTAGGCCTTTTGGGTCTAGATCTTCTCAGCTCTTGCAATTTGTCCATGTTGGCAACACCCAGGACGGCCGATTCATAAGTCCCGAAATTGCCAACAATGGTTTTCTCCGACTCCAAGCTCAAGTAAGCCTCAATCTGGTTCGGAACAGCAGCGGAAGGCCACTGCTTGGAATTAAACATCCACCCCAATTCAGCCGGAATCTAATCGAACCCACAAGCCGAAACGATCAGAGAGCCCTTCTCGACAGCCTGGTCATGGTAATTGACTTCCATTCTCTCCATAAACTCGGGCTCCCCGCAGATATCCAAGTAATCGCAGCCGGTCTGGCTGCAGGCGGCAACGACAGGGTCGCCGTAGAGACGAAATGGGCCGACGCAGTTGAGGAGCAGCCTGGTTTGGGAGCATAGCAGGCGAAGGGAAGCAGGGTCGGTGGTGTCGGCGGAGAGGATCGGGATGGAGGGAGGTGGAGAGTTGGGATGGGCAGCCCACTTGAGAGCTTAAGAGAGCTTGGAAGGATTTCGGCCGGCGATGGCGAAGGATTTGAGAGGGGAAGATGGGGAATTGAGGAACTTGAGCGCTTCTCTTACAACGTACTTGCCGGTGAATCCGGACGCTCCGAGGATTATGAGATCGTACGGAGGAGGAGGAGATTGGTGGGTGTTGTAGTCTTCCATGGCCGGAGAATGAACTGCAGATTTGGATTGGAATTCGCCGGGCGGTTGGAACAAAGGCTTTAGAGAAGGTTTCTTCTTTCTCTATGCCTTTGAAGCCGTTCACCAACTTGAATTGCGTGCCATTAGTGTGCTGCTCTGTTTCTTGCAATGTTGTCAGAACCGAACCAGAGTATGACCCGATAACGTGAACGGCTCGGTTTTTAGTGGTCCAGCCGGCATTAGACCGTTTAAAAATCGTTTGAGAACCGGTACCTAATAAACAGTCATCTGTATAAATAGTAGACATTTCTTAATCATGGTATCAGTTCCCACCCAACTCTTCTCCATAGACAATTAACTTCAATATATTTCTCTCTCTTACTTTGCCGTTAGTCCCATAGAGAGACAATAATCCTACTCCTACACAAAGAGGGACCTGGCCCCTGGAACAAATGTAATTTACACAAGCAAAGCAGAAATGATGTAGAGAGCTACCCATCACTGGAAATTTGTTCTTGTCCATTGCACGTACCTGAGGGACTCTTGAAAATTTAGTTTCCCAAATACCCAATCTGAAAGTTACTCTTTCTTTTTCGTGATTCTTATCAGTTTACAATTTGTTCATGAAATTTGACAACCAACAACAGAACCAGTTTCTAGTTTCCTTAACTCATTCTTTGTTAGCTAGATGTATACTACAGATGGAAAAGACATGATGACTATGTGATGCAGACAGGTAATAAGGAAAGCTCACGAAAGAGAAAGCAAGTATACACAGTAATAACACCGGCCAAATTAACAAGAAAGTCGCAGCCTTTCAGACTAAATTAGAATCAAGAGGAGGAAATCTATAGCGCTATTCTATGGATATCATATACACAGAGACATGAGGAAGACAAATAGAAAGTAGAAAGAAAAAGGAGAACAGGGGTTATTAAAAACCTGGAAGCAGAGTGTCGATGGACAGCAGGGGTCGATGCAGGGGAGAGGTAGCCGTGACCGGAGAAGGGAGAAGGGAGACCTCACCGGCCGGCCATTGCGCTCGCCGGCAAGAGCGGGGAACGAGCCGCCGAAGACGACGACTATGGCGACAGGCGGCGGGGGAGTGGCGTCGAGCGATGGCGAACGGCGACGACGTGGGGCGATGGGGAATGGCGGTTGCGGAGGAGGAAGCTGCTTCTCCTTCGTGTCTGGCTGTCTACGCGAAGAGGAAGAAATGAAATTAGGGTTTCAGCACAACAACCTCCCCTTTCATTTTCGATATTTTAGGTTTTTTTTTTTTAATTAAAGCAACCGGCCCAAAGGTTAAAAATCGGGCGAGCGGTTCGAGCGGTTAACCGCTTCGGCCGCTCTCCGGCCGCCCCAAATAACCACTCCGGCTAAATAGTTGAGTCGAGCCGGTTTTATGGCCGGGTGGCGGTTTTGGCGGCTCGGCCGGCCGGCCCGGCTCGGCTTTGACAGCACTGTTTTCTTGTTTCCGGCCTTCAATTTTTGAAATGGTGAGGTAACTTTTGTGTTCTTTCAAAATGACCACTTTCTTTCATTTTCTTCTAAAATTTCGTTGTTTGCATGGGAGGGACTAGGGAGAGACTAGGGATGGCAATGGGGCGGGTTTGGGGCGGATTTGTCTAAACCATCCTCGTCCCCATTTTCAAATACCCAAACCCATACCCGCCCCATACCCATGCGGGGAATGTTTTGCAAACCCATCCCCATACCCGTGGATTTCGGGTACCCATGGGTAATACCCATCCCCGTACATTCAACATTATTATACCTAAAACTTATCTTATAAGTTTTAATTAGGGTTAATATTTTCGTATGGCCTGAACTTTGACCAAAATAAACATCTTGGTCAATCTTTTCGATCTATAACATCCTGACCCGAACTATACACCAAAATAAACAATTTGGCCAGATCCGACTTTTGACCGTTAACTTGGATGGTCAAACGCGTTGACCGTTAGTCAACGCGCCATGTCACTGCCAAGTCAACATAAAATATTTAAAATAATTCACAATTTCCACACATTCCCTAATTTTAAATTATTATAAATTAAAAAAATCATCTAATACCTTAGTTAAACCAAAAATTAAAAAAACGAAAAAATTATATATTTATCAGATCTTCTGACTTGGCAGTGACGTGGCGCGTTGACCGTTAGTCAATGCGTTTGACCGTCCAAGTTAACGGTCAAACATCGGGTTTGGCCAAATTGTTTATTTTGGTGTATAGTTCGGGCCAGGATGTTATAGATCGAAAAAATTGGTCAGGATGTTTATTTTGATCAAAGTTCAGGCCATACAAAAATATTAACCCTTTTAATTATAACCATAAACAAACCTATTATATCATGAAGTCAACAAAACATGGTCATTTCTAAATACGATTCAAATAATATGATCCTAAAACATCCATTAATACATAATATAGAATATAATCTTTTTAAAATTATTATGCTCTAACTCTTGATACATTTACCAAGTAATAATTAACTAACATAATCTTGTTGAAAGGGGGAAAGTGAAAGAGTGGAAGTAGGGATGGCAATGGGTCGGGTTGGGGCGGGTTTTGCCAAACCCGAACCCAAACCCATGGGTTTGTCCGTCAAAAAAACCCGGGGTAAAACCCGCTGGGTTTGAAAAACTCAAACCCAACCCAACCCGCTGGGTATCCGCGGGTTGATGGGTACCCGCGGGTTTTTTTGGTAAATATTTATAAAATAATAATTAACTAGAAACTATCAAAATCTCAAGCATAAATCTCACCCGCTTTGTATTGATCTGAATACTAACTTTAAAGGTTGAGCGTGGCCTTATTCTACATTCTTTGCCTTGATGCTATTAGGAAAAGGGAATCAACATGATTTTTGTACTAAGTGGGAATGGTACACATGCTGGGGCGAACGCCATACACGAAGAGGTTTATAAGCTTACATCTTATTGATTTCCTGCACTACTATATCTTTTTGTCTGTTTTAGTTGAGTGCTGGTTATATGGCTTACGAGCTAGTTCAACCTAGCTTCTCCTTTCTGAATCCTCTTATAGAAGGATACTCTTGAGGAACTGTTATGCCATAATGGTACCTGGGATCGAGCATAAAAGGTTGGCCAATAGATATCTAGTCTAAGTACCGGGAACAGACTTTTTCCAGAATTGCTAGAAAATGTAATTGAATTTAAGATGTAACCTAGTCCATCTGAACTATATGTATTGGTTCTGATTTTCCTATGACATTATATTCTCAGGCAGACTTAAACTCAGAACATTGAAGTAATTGTAATAGGTGTCTGATATTAGAAGTGGTCATCTTAGAACTGCAATTTGGTACTTCTAGCTTTCTTCATTTTACAAGCTCCAGCGTATTATTCCCAGGCAGATCAGAACATTGAAGTAATCTTAATAGGTGCCTGTTACTAAAATTGATAGCATGGCATTTCGGTATTTCTTACTTTCTTCCTGGTACAAGCTCCAAAGTATTATAATTTATAACTTCTAAATTCCTGTTTTCAGTGCCGTAAAAGAAAGCTGCAGGTAGCTGTAGTTGGGGTACCAAAGACCATAGATAATGACATTTTATTGATGGATAAAACTTTCGGTTTCGATACTGCTGTAGAAGAAGCACAAAGAGCAATAAATTCTGCTTACCTTTGCAGAAGTGCTCTCGCGGAGCAGAAGACCAAGGAGAGGGCGGCGGGGGTGGAGTCGGAGGCGCGCGCCGAGGAGCAGGGAGAGGGCGTCGTGACTGAAGTCTGAAATCGGGAGAGGAGTCGGAGGCGCGGCCGCGTAGCAGAGGAGAAAGGAGAGTTCGCCGGGACGGAATCGGTAGTGGAGTCGTAGGCGCGGCGGCCGCGTAGGAGAGTTCGCCGTGCCGGACTGGAGACTGGACTCTGGTAGGGATGACTGGAGATCGCGATTTGCGAAAGGAGAGGGGCGGCAGCAGTCTTTGGGAGAAAGGAGAGGGGCGGCCGAGTATGGTCTTGGTCGATTAGGGATTTAGGTTTTGTCACTTGCGTGTCCGGGTATCCACGGGTCGGGTTCCCCAAACCCGAACCCGCCCCAACCCGCCCAAGCAGCCACCGGGTTTAAACCCGACCCCGACCCGAACCCGGTCAACACGGATTTTACCCGGTTTGACCGGGTTGGGTCGGGTCGGGTACCCGCGGGTACGGGTTTCACTGCCATCCCTAAGTGGAAGGAGAATTGAGGGAAATGAATTAGGTTTTGATTAAGGTGGTTACTCAATTGCATTTCTACTATTTATTTTCTCGAGTTATCATCATTATCATTGATATATTACAATTTAATCCACATATTTTTTGATATGTGAAGAAATTCTCTTGGTGGGGCGGGTATGGGTATGGAGCGGGGAGGCTAAAACCATACCCGCCCCATACTCATCAAACTTATTGCGGGTTTTACCCATACCCGCCCATACCCGGTCAAAGCGGGGATTTCCCGCGTTGACTGGGTCGGGGGCGGTCGGGTACCCGCGACCATGGGTTTAATTGTCATCCTAGGAGAGACTGATGACAATTTGAAATCCGCTTGAGGATAAGTAAGTTTTCTTTACCAAGTCAAGCATGAATGAGATATACACTATAAAAATTAGTTTGAATGCAGATTCTAACCTCTTCTTAATTAATTTTTTTGATGAGAGGGAATGTTGTCATTGACGAGGAAAAACTGAAAATTAGAAAGTATTCAGATGAAATTGAAAAGCTGGTGATCATTTTGTACGAATAGTATACTTACACCATCATTTTGGATAATCATCAATTAAGTACTCAACTTGCAGTTTTCAATTGGAGAATGGTATTATGGTAATAAAGACATATGATCATGTCGACAATACCCTAGGGAGCACCCCAGCTAATAATTCCCCATAATGACGCCACCACCCCCAAAAAAGATACCAAATAGCTAAATTGCCCGCTCAATTTTTATTTTCCCCCTTTGGGCCGGGAAAGCTTTTTAGTTTCAGTTTAAGTCACTGCTCCAACTTTCTTCTTTGCAGAGC